TCCCGTCCCACACACCCCATCGCGGCTCTCACTGCCGGCCGCCACAAGCAGAAGGGTCTCTGCGCTGGCAATTTATTCAAGCAGCCCTGTGCTTCTAAGGGTTAAAAAGCAAGTACAGCGTATGATTTATTACAAAGACTTTTTGCTTTTTAACCTGTTTCCCCTCCTCAATACTTTTTATGTGCAAAGATATAACAGCATATCCCCAGAAGATTTATAGCCCCTTTTAGTCAAACACCAGGCCCGTCACCTCTGTTTTCCAAGAGAGAGAATGGGTGTGGGGCTAGGGAGGAGGAACACATCTGTTCATATAAGAATCCAATCCTTTTTCTGCTAGAAGAATAATAGCAAATCACCAAGCAAAAACCACAAAAGGAACTGCGTATTCATTTATTCTAGAGGAAAAAAACATTTTTAATGAAATGAGCAGATTTGGACTTCTGGTTCAAGCAAAGAAACATTTCTGTAAATGATGTCTCCCCTGTGTGCTATCAAAGAGGCACTCTAGCTCGAACGGTGAAAGTACTTATGAAACTTATATTAAAGCTGTGCTGAACGAAAGAATGCATTTTTCCTGCATCTGGAACTTCCTGACATCATTTACTGCTGGGGTATGAATATGTATATCAGAGCCTGACCACTTGTCCAACATTTTGAATGCCCATGTCACTAATTTCCAAAGTTGGCAAGTTTAGTCAAACAAAAGAAACAAAGTGTGCTGTGTACCAGCAATAAAACTGTGCACTCAGAACCATCTATCAAGACATTGGACTTCTGGCCAACTCCTAAATACAGTCCACAAACACTATATTTATGGTGTTTTTTCCTTTTAACTAATCTATTCTATTTTTTTTCCTCTCAAACTCTTTTTTCCTGCTTTGATTTCTGCATGTGTAATCAGTACCACCAAATCAGAAAAGCAAAAATAAAAAATTGCATAAATGAAAAATATTTTTCATGGCTATTTAGCAGATATGGCTATAGAAAAAACAAAACTGGATACAAAAGAAAAATATATACATTCGATAGAACATATAGAAAGTGAAAATGTGCTATTTTGTCCTCCTCTGCATTTTCATTTTGAAACGATGATGTGGATTAAACTTTTACCAGCTGTCCTGACTACAAGTTCCTAGTTTTTATAAGCCAATGTTAAATATTAATACAGTTTTGCTTTTACTTCACCGTGGTTTTAAAGCAAACATAACCTTCATGGAATGTTTTAAAATGTATGACTTTTAAAGGCCTAATCCAACTTCCAGGAAGGTCAAAAGGAATCTCTGTGTTGACCAGGATGAGGCTTGGAGCAGGAACTCAGTAAGGTCTTCATGGTGCATTTGGCTGTCTCAGGTGCAGAGGAAAGAGGGACAACAGAGCCGCCCTCTCAAGTTTGCAGGAAAGCCTCATTTAGTAGGAGTCAGTGAGTAAATATCTCACAGCTCATATGATGATTTTGTTAATTAATTCATCGGCTTCCAAAAAACTTAAAAAAAAATAGTGGTCTGGAAAAAGCCTTCTGAGATACAGAGATATTTCAGATCCTAAACTACCATAGGAACTGCAGTGAGAGTTCTGGGTGGGGCACTGAGGAGGCTCCCAGCTCACAGACATTGGGAACACTTTGACCTGGGCCTTGTTTGTGCCATCTCTGGTGCTTGGATTGTTAATAAAAATGTTTGTGTTCCTCTAGGCAGCGACTATTCTCTGCTCCCCTCTGGTGATGGCACCTGTACAGGGTCTCCTGCAAATGGGCAAAATTATCCTTCTCTTTATTTGAATCCCAAATTTCTCCGTCCTGGAGGAAAATTCTTTTAAGAGTTTCATAAGTACGGGTTTGCAAGTGTGTGTGGTTGATTTTGTGTGGCCAAATGGCATTTCAATCACACAAGTGGATTTATCTCCCTTTTGCCAAGTAAGTCAGCAGCAGATTTCAGGACTGATCCTGCAAACATTGCCAACCTGGAAAGCTTTGAAGATATATGAGTTTTCCTATAAAGTGCTGAGGTCTTAAATTGCTACTTTGGTCTTTTTCCTTTCTCTGAAATATTGATATAGCCTGCAGAATGTGATGTGACTGTGGTGGAGGTGAACTGGATTGTTCTGACTGAGACAGTGAAAATCTTTGTTCTGCTCCCTTTTCTATAAAGGTACAGTTTGACATGCTAGAAGATTCATTTGCATTGATTTTTGCCATTTGCTTTAAACTAAATCCACACATAATTAAGAATACAGGGAAAAACTGTCATGTTGACTGTTGCTGAGCATCCTACATCTGCAGTTTGAGAACATTGGATGGCTCAGAGTAGCTCACTTTTAGACTGGTTTTTGTTGGGTGATGTTCCTGAAAAGTACCAATGCTGACTTTGCTTATTATTTATTCCCAGCCAAAACCTTCCAGCTTCCAGGTGATGTGTCACAAACTTAATTACATCACATTCGTTTTGAATGAGAAACATTGTTTTTAAAAACAAAAACTCATGTAGTTCTGATTGTTGTTGTTTATAAATCTTAGTATGAAAACTAATGAAGGTGAGATCAGTCATACAGTAGGGAGAAAAGATACTTAATTGTATTTTAAGGTGATATTATCTACCAGGCTTTTTTTACTGTCTCCACAGCAAACCTACAGGGAGAACACATTATAGCACTCCTCATCTGCTTCTGTGCAAGATCAAACAATTGTTCTTAAATGACTTCTGAAATCATTCACTCCCTGCACACAGTAATTACCTCACTACTGCCAAATAGATCAGTTTTAAAAACAGATAATAAAATCTTCTTAAACATATTCATATTTCCTAATAATTATTTTGCTATATTCCATTTTCTGGATTTGGGCTTTTTTTCTAAGTTTTTTCCCCTGATTTCACTACTATACTTTTGCATCCTTTCAGACTATAAAGCAAGCCAGTGACCCATGAAGTTCTAGCATGAGTGTAAATCCTAATATCACTTCAGGCAGTTGCTACCAATGCAAGGTAAAGTCACAGAACTTTGGATTAGCTACTAGAGTCAAAGCAGAGACAAAATCTCCCAGACATTCCTAAATAATGTCAGAGCTCTGTCTTGACTAGGGCAATGACAGATAGGCTCAGCTCATATCTTTTCTGA